TATTACTTAATTGTCCAATAACTCATTCCCTCCACTTTCACCACCTATATTTTGCCATATTTTTAATTGAATGCATGGTACATTGCTTTTGATTTTCAGTTTTTTGATAATTTGTGAGATGAAACACTTTTATTATTTTTTAGCTTTTGTGAACAGGGAGAGAGATTTGTATTTCTTTCTTTAAAATTGCTTGTTTACACCCTTTGTGCTGAACTTTGCTTAGAAGAGAATTTAATTTCCTATCTAATAACATTCTTTTGGTGTATTCCAGGATGCTGGGTAACACTTTAACACACTAAACAATTTTATGTCTAAAATCAAACAACATAAGTCTTGTTAGTAAGATGTTAGTAAAATAGCTTATGTTTTCTATTTACTGGTAAATAGCTTCAAAAGGAAATCATAAATACTTCATCCATGCTAATTTAATTTTTGATAGTATTTAAATGGTATTATTATAGTAGACTTACGGAAGGAGCCTTGGATCAGACAAAATCTGTATAGGGCAAATCATTTAACTAGGACAGTCACATTTTATTTTCTTCTGCAAAATAAAATCAAATTACTCTTTGGGGTTATATGGGGGATTATACATATTATGCTTAACTATTGGTGATAATATTTTCACACAATAAATGGCTAATAAATGATAGATTTAGTTATTATTAGCCCCACTTAGTGCTGTTGTATCCTACCATTCCCTCATTAAAGTGCTTTTTCTGCTTTCAAGTCTCAGACCATTACTGGATTGTGAAACTAATGTACATGATTTTGGGGTAAATCTAGACTGTTCTAGTGAAAAAGAAGAGTAGAGAGGATTATGCCAGTTTTTTCATGTATTGAAATGGCCAGTGCTTTTATATGAAAGTTTCCCTCAGTCCATAACATACAGGCAGAAAGAGTGGATGTCCTGGATGACATTATAAAACGTTCTTCTTACTAGGTGCTGTATTCAAAATTCCTTCCCCAAAATGTAGCAGATACTTGTTTCATTGTGTGTAAGTCCTGTAATACTACAGTGGCTAAGACACCTTGGTTTCAATCTGAATTCCACTAATTACTACTGTATGACTTTAAACCCATTGCATAAACTCCCTGGGCCTTAGTTTTCTCACCAATGAATTGGGTAATAATTATACCTATCTCATGGAAATAGTATGAAAACTCTATGCTTTAATAATATGTCTAAATCACATAGCAAGCATGCAAGAATGTTTAGCTATTATTTTCTCAATATGCTCTACTAGAGTAGAATATATTTTTTCTCAACAGGCAAACAATACCACCTGCACTAAACTATGCAAAAGAATGTAAAGTTGTCACATTAGCCAGGATTGAATAATCAGTTAATCTTCCCATTCACAAAAGGAAATACTTATGTTTTTATATTTTATGACCTTTAAAATTTTTATAATTGTTTGAACTAAATAACAAGAGCCTTGTATGCTTTTACTGTAGTCTCCTCTTGATTTTTTTAAAAGTCATAATTGGTAGAGACGATCTTGGCTGATAAGAGTTAAAAGTTTACAGCTTTTCTGATTTTGTTGAATATCTTCCAAGGATACTTTGGAAGATTGTTTCTGTTAATTATAGAAACATTTTTTTCTCCTTCAAAAAAAAAAACCCTGAATAAATTACAAGCACATTTTGTAAATGTACACTGTGTTTAGCAAAATCTCCTTGTTCCTATCATTGTGTATCACTCCAGTCATATATAAAAAAATTATATTCCATAAGTTAGAGTAATACAAAAAAATACTTAACAAGTGCCACTTAAAGAAAACTACTTGTCAATATGAGTTACAAGCAACAGCACCCCACTTCTAGAACTGTGCCAGAATTAAGCAGAAAAATAGACAATATGCTTTTAATTTAACAGTAGCACTATAATATTAAGTTTTTTAATTTACCCCAATCACTTCCTTTAAATCCCAGAGTAAACCAGAGGAATTATTCAAATACCCTTAGCTATCCTGCAAGGTATGTAATAAAGCATATCATAAATGATGATCCTCACAGCAGAGAAACAAACTGACTTTTTGAATATCTATATATATATTAATGTTCCATGCATATCATATTATTCTGCTGATTCACATGAAATAGAAAAGTTATGACATAATCAGTGTCAATAATTCCATCTAAATTGTGCCAGCAAGGCAAGCAAGACTTCAAATATTTGCAGGGAGATAGGTTCCTAAGCTAAATAGACTTAGGAAAAGCTTCTACATGTCTACATTCTGGAAAAAATCTGGGCTGCCCAGTATTGTTAGAGATGATGGATGGTTGGATGGATGGATGGATGGATGGATGGTTCATTGGATGGATGGTTCATTGGATGGTTGGATGGATGGATAGATGGATGGATGGATGGATGGATGGATGGATGGAAGAAACAATCATTCAATCAATCAGTAGAACAAATCTATATGCCAAACACCAGATGCACTGCTAAATTCTTTGTATGGGTTATCTCATTTCACATTCATATAAAAACTTAAGTATTTTGTCAGAATATGCTCATTTGGCAAATGAAGTAACTGCAAAGAAGAGACAATCCGAACCTGTATCTTTGTGAGTCTACCTTTAGGATTATATTAGTAAATATTGGTGGAAAATAAAAGGTTTAAAAGGAGAAATAATTAGTTAACAATAAAAATGATTATCTGTGCCTATATGTTAACCTCAGAAATGTTCATCTTCCAGCTATATGTGGTAGCACATGCCTGTAATCCCAGCATTCATGAGGCTGAGGCAAGAGGATCGCCTCAAGTTTGAAGCCAGCCTGTATTAACAATTAACATTATAGTGAGTTTGGGGCCAGTCTGAACTATAGAGTGAGACCCTGTCTCAAAATAAAAAAAGAAAGTGAAGAAAGGAAGAAAGGAAGAAAGGGAGATCCAAAATGTCTAGATTTTAAGATTTTCATAACCCCATGCATGCAAGTTTATTTTACCTTCAGCTATATTCTTACTAAATGTATAAGTATGCATAATTATCAAGAAGTTTCTATTCCATAAAGGACATGATAATTATGTGCCTTGTGGAGAGCTGGTGCATGTATGTACATAACACACCTTCATTTTTTTTATCCCCTTGCTCTCCCCTTCTTCCTCCTCTGATCTGTCTCTTGATCATTTTTGCAAAAGTTCTGTCTCCCTACTTCTTATTATCTGTCTTTTATTTTGGTCTTTATTTATATTTTGGGTTTCCCATATAAGAGAAGCCATGCAATATTTAATCTTGTGGGTCTGATTTATTTCACTTAACATTGTCATCTCAAGGTGAATCTATTTTCCTACAAATGACTCAAGTGTATCCTTCTTTATGACAGAGTAGTACTCCACTGTGTATAAATACCGCAATTTTTTTACCTAATCATCTGTTAATGGACATATAGGTTGCTTCCAAGATTTAGCTATTATGAATTGTGGTGCTATAAACATGGGTGCACGTGTATCACTGTACTATGTTGTAATTAATTCTTTCAGGAATATACATGGAAGGGGCATAATTGGATTGAATGGAATTTCTAGGTTTCATTTTCTAAGGGATACCCATACTGATTACCATAATTGTTGTATAACTTTACATTCCCATCTATAATGTAGTAGGGTTCCTATCCCCCACTCCACAGCTCTGCCAGCATTTGACATTACTTTATCAAGGGTAGCCAATTTTTATAGAGTAAGATAGAACCTCAGTGTTGTTTCACTCTGCACTTCTCATTTTGGACATGTTTGCTGGTTATCGTCATTTGTACGAAAATCAAAATGTCTTCACCCACCCACTGATTTTCTCATTGGGACTGTGAAGTTGCTCCTGCTCAGGGCTGTTTATTTTCTCTATTTCTGCCCAAAATCATGTCCACTTTCTCATCAACATAGGCTGAAACCTTAAATAATACAATAGGCTATATAATCCGAAATATATTTGGACTCCAAATATGAATATTCTTTTACTCCTTTATGATGCTTTCCTTACATTGATCTATCACTTGGCATGTGGTACACTAAAAATAATCTAGGAAGGGCAGGGCTCAGTTCTTTATATTTCAGAAAGTAAATAGATTTGGAGGTCAAATGTCTTGTCAAAATTCATGTAGTCAGTGGAAAGGACTAGAACTGATGTCTTTGGAATTCAAAGCTAAGATGTTTTCATTGAGTTTCTTAGGATTTTTTTTTTTAGTATTTTGAAAGCAAACACATATTTGAAATAATTGAGTAACTTAATTTAATAAATTTATTCAATAACAATCAATTTAAGTAAATTAAAATAATTAAACAGACAAGTCATGTTACATTATCAGTGTCTTGATATAAGTAGTCAATTCACCACGTTTTCTGTGACCAAACAAACAACACTCCTCAAAACAAGTGAATTATTGATAAGATTACTGTTTATAGTACATGTCAAAAAAATAACTGGGAGGAAAACTTACCAATAATAGATGAGATTCAAGAATCGATTTTTGGGTAATGTCATGATGCACTATCAATGTTTTAATGCTATTATTTACAGCTATTTTAAAAGTCACTAACATCTTGAATTCATGCTAGCATTTATCAACATTTCCAAAACAACTGTGTCACGTTTGTTTTTTAGAAAATACAAAATGTTAAAGAGTATAAAATCTGTGTATTGTCAATAATTGTTTCATATTCATTTCAATGAGATATGGGTTAGAAGTTAAATCTACATAGCAAAACAATAGTGGGCTGTACAAATAACTCATAGATTTGACAGTTGACACAGTGTCATTGGGAGAGAATCATCGGGAGAGGTTCAGTAATTATATGTGGTTTTACCTTCTGGGAAAGAACGCTCCACTCTCTGTGGTCTTATTAATGTTTCATGAACCAACATAAAGTAATATGCTAATGATAGACTATTTACCCAGGTGCAACTGCTGCTGTGTCTTTATCTCTGGTACACCTTTGATATAGGATCAGGTGAGCCATTTTGAATTGTTTTTTCTTTGCTTCCTCTCCTTCCTTCAGTTTCCCCTGAACCTAAAATGGTGAGCGAGAGTCACCATGAGGCGCTGGCAGCCCCTCCAGCCACCACTGTTGCCACCGTTCTGCCACATAACGCCACAGAGCCGGCCAGTCCTGGGGAAGGGAAGGAAGACGCCTTTTCTAAACTGAAGGAGAAGTTTATGAATGAGCTGCATAAAATTCCATGTGAGTATCCTGTATCATCACTTGAGTGAAAATACAAAGTTAAAAGTCACTTTATTCAATGGGCAGAAAAAGCAAGACTCAGCATTCTTAATGGTAATACTTCCTGGAAATATTCCAACAATAACACCAAATAGTCTTGGAAATTGAATATTCCCTTTGTCTTGGGTGACAATCCAGTTTATTTTAAAAATTCTATGTGCTGTATTTAATGTAGATAAGTTCTTTTATGTCTATTCCTCTCAAGAATACTAATGCCTATAGGTTTTGCTATGTATGTTTTGGATTTACATTTATGAAACTATTCCACTGTAAAATTTAATCTCCAATAGAGCTAATATTTGCTTTCCTGGTATTTTAAGTTTGGTTTTCTTTATCTGTTTCTCGATGTTTTAAAATCTTTTGTCCAATTTTGAAGTTTTCTTTTTTGTCATCCAGGAAAAACTGAATCTGCACTTAATTTTACTTTTATAAATGTACATTAAGTCCAACTACTGGCATTTCATTCTTAACTATGTTTTTATATTGACAGATAAAACTGTATTTACTGTGTATAATATGATGTTCCGATATACATGTTGAATTGACTAAATCTGGCTAATTAACATATGTAACACTTTACATAGTTATTTTGTCCTGAAAAACACTTTGTATTCATGCTCAGCATTTTTAAGACTATAATATGATATCAAGCGCACTTACCATGTTGCAATGTAGCTCTTGAACTTAACTCTTTCTAACTGAAATCTTGCATCCTTCACACAACTCCCCAATCTGCTTTTCAAGATCTCCAACCCCAGGTGGCCACATTTTATACTCATCTTCTATGAGATCAACTTTTTCCTCATTTGACTAAGTTTATTTTTAACTAATACATAAAAAAACATATTAATGGGATACTAGGAAGTGATATGACACATGTGTACACTGCATGATTTAGCATCAGGTTAAACATATCTATCCCCTCAAATATTTATCATTTCTTTATGGTGAAAACTCAACATCTTTTCTTCTTTCTCTTTGAAATGTAAAGTACGTTAATGTGCTATAGCATTCTATAGTCTCCCTACTATAAACTAATACAGCACAACTAATTGCTTCTTTCTCACTATAACTTAGTACCCATTGGTCAACATCTGTCCAACTCTCCTCTGCCTGTACTCTCCCCAGCCTCTGGTATCTCCACTCTATGGAATCAGCTATTTTAGATTGCATATATGAATAAGGTTATGCAATATTTCTTCTTTCTGTGCCTGTTTTATGTCACTTAATGTCATCTCTAAATCCAACAATTTTGCTGCAAATGACACAATAACCTTCTTTGCTGAATGAATGATATTTCATTGCATATATACATATGTTATATTTTTATCCACTGATCCACTGATGGAAATTAAAGCTGTTTCCATATCTTGGCCATTGTGAACAGTGCAGCAATAAACACGGAAGTGATAACGTATGTTTTCAATGTACTGATTTCATTTCCTTTGGTTGTATGCCCAGGAGTAGGACTGCGGGATCATACGATGGTTATCTTTTTAACTGTTTGAAGAACATCCATCCTGTTTTCCATAATGAATGTACTAATTTACATTCTGACCAATGGCTTACAAGGACTGACCTTTGTCCACATCCTCGCCAGCACTTGGTGTCCTTTTGATAATTAGTGATATCTCATTGCGGTTTTAATTTACATTTCCTCAATTCTAGTGTGGAGATTTCACTTCCTTGATTAAATTTATTCTGAAATGCTTTTTTTTTTTTGTAGATAGTGCAAAGGAAATCGGTTTCTTGATTTCCTTTTCATGTTGTATGTAGAACCATTACCGATTTTGTATATTGATTTTGTGTCATGTTACTTTACCAAGTTCATTTATCGGTTTTGTTATGGGAGTATTTAGGGCCCTATATATGATCATGCCATATGCAGAGTGGGAAATATTTTATTTCTTCCCTTCCACTGTGGATGGCTTTTCTTTTCCTTGTTACATTTTTGTAGGAAATCCATTACAATAGGGAATACAAGTATCAAGAACAGGCATTCTTTCTTTCTGGACCCCAGAGGAAAACTCCCTGCTGAGTATAATGTTAACCATGTGTTTGTCATATGAACCTTTATTCTGTTAAGGTAGTTTCTTTCTACCTCTAATTTTGAACACTTGTTTATTCTGAAAGGATGTTCAGTTCTGTAAAATGCTTTCTCTCCAACTACTGAAAAAATCATACCATTGTGTCCTTCATTTTGTTAATATATCATATTTATTGTTTTATGTATGTTGAACCATCCTTATACCCCTGGAATTAATCCCATTTTACCATACGGAAAACTTCCTTTACTACTTATTTACTTTCTCTTTGACTTGCTTTCTCCCCCAAATTGAAAACTTTTCAAATGGGCTTTTTCTTCCTGTTTTTCACTGCAATTCTGGCTAAAAGCCAGTAGTAAAACTTATGCCATAGCCTGAATGTTGAACTGCTTTGAAATTTCTTTCTCCAGATTAATTAGTCTACTACCCTAAATCTCAGTCTCCCACAAAGTCTCAGGGCATGAGCAACATGTAGACACATTTTCTGCCAGAGTGCAATACACATGGTCTCAAGTCTCACTACCAATGGAGTCCTTGGTCCCAACCAAAACCTCTTGAGCCTGGTTTTTACTAGTTGCATCTCTATCGGGATTTTGGTCTCCTAAACTCTGACCAGCATGACCCCTCAATCTCAGCTCATAGCTTTCTGGGGCTTCTCTGGCCAGCACCTCCAAATCTTCCTAAATTTTCCCCATGAGGCAGTTCCAAAGGTTTCTGAATCACACGGTCAGGCAGTCATAGCAACAACCTCTTTTTCCAGTACTAAGATCTGTCTTACCTAGTTTCCCATTACTAAGACACAATACCCAACACCCACAATTTAGAGGAAGGGAGGTTTATTTGGGCTCACAGTTTCAGAAGTCTGAGCCCAAGCACAGTCAGCCAGGTCCAAAGGAAAAGGAGCAAGATAGAAGAGCGTAGCAGAGGAAAGCTGCTCACATCATGGGGGCCGGAAGTGGAGAGAGAAGGGAGGGAACAAGAGGGAGATATATCCTTACAGGCTGTGCCCCCAGGTACCCACCTCTGCTGAGGCCTCACCTCTTATCTACATTTCTCATAGCACCCCCATGACCCAATCACCTTCCGAAAACCCCACCTTGGAACATGACCCTCCAGATCTAAAACATAACAGCTATTGCACTTGGTTTGCTACTACTGTCTTAAAGAATGCTGCATCTATGTTCATCAGGGACCCTTCTCCTGTAATATTCTTTTTTTGTAGGGTCTTTGCTTGGTTTTGGTATCAGGGTAATACTGGCCTCATGAAAGTTCAGAAGTATTCCTCCTGAGTTCAGAAGTATTTCTTCCTGTTCAATTTTTTTAAGAGTTTGTGGGTTATTAGTTCATCTCTGAATATTTCACAGAATTCAGGTCATCTTTCCTTAGTTGTTCTGATCTTTGTGCTTGTAAATCTACATCCGTGTTTAAAATGAAAGATATTTATTTTAATCTTCACAAACTGCTTTGTCTGGCAAAGTTCTATGCCAGGTTCCGTGCTGGGATACTCGTGGCTATCGCAGTGTTATAGAAGCCTAGGGCCCACTGCAGCGGGCATGGTACTGGGGCATGCTAGAAACCGAAGGCAAATGTGGCTGTCAAGGTACAGGGGCATCCTGGGGCACTACCTCAGGGGTCCTTGCCAGAAGCACAGAGCAGCTGGGACTAATGCATTCCTGCCAGAAGCCAGGGGCCCACTAAGACATGAGACTCTGGCCCTGACATCCAGGGATTATGGAAGGAGGCCCCATCTCAGAGCCATTAACATCCGCCAGGCAGTAGTGCATATCAGAGATTAAGTCTGCTGTGCAGATCTGAAGCTTGAGACTGCACAGTCCATCCTGGTGCTAAGACAGGACGAAAAGCCTCAGTCTCTAGTGTTCTAGAAGACAGGGCCTCAGAAGTCTGCCCAGTGCTGGCTCTTGCTCTAATGGATTCCAAGTCAAAGTCCTGAGCTCTCTTTCCCACAGGAAGACAGTCCCTCTCTCTCCACACTGTGGAGCCTGGAATGGGGAAAGGAATGATGTGCGACTGTCCTTCCTGTCTGTTTCAGTGTGTCTTATCTTCCTGTGCTGCAACTGCAAAAGGTACTAAGACCTTTCCCACAGTTCTCTTGGCTGTTGTGCAGATATTTTCATCTATGGATAGTTGCTCAAATTGATATTTCTACAGGTGGACAGTTTAGAGATTCTTATTCTGCCCTTTTGCTTTACCCAAATACTAACAACATTTAATTTGAATCTTAAACAAGTTTGTCTTTTTGTCAAGTCTGAACACATTCTACCATTTTTCAAGCCCTGGAAGCAAAGTTTTGAGTTTATATTCTCATAGGTAGGAAAGAGTAATAAAGAGGCAAATATATATAATACATCATGACAATAAATAATGTATAGAAAAAATATAATAAAGTAAATGGGATACAGAAGGGGTAAAAGTTAAAGGATTGTTACCTTTGAGGTTATCAGCACTGGTTTCTTCATTTAAATAACCTGAAAGTGAAGGAGGGAACTATGATCAAATCTGGCAAAGCCCTTAGGCAAAAGTCTGCCGAAATATCAAGCAGCCCAATGTGCCTTAAATACAGTCAGCAAGGTACAAAGCAGCAGAATATAAATGTGTCTGTAGCAGAAGTCATGATATGAAGGCTTGTGCACTGTTTTAAGGACTCTGGATTTTATCGTGGAAATTAAAGTGCATCTTAAAGAACTTTTGAACGGAGGTGTTCTTGGATCTGACTTAAAACTTTACAATATTGGATGTGGCTTCCAGAGGGGTAAGGACAGAAGACAGTGCAAGCTGTTGCAGTAGTCCAGGTGGGAGATTTTTGAAATTTATAAAAGAATTATGCTACAAGGACACTCAAAAACTAAATGAAACATATGAGGAATCAACTTCTTATGCCTCAGTAATTAGAAACTT